CTATATTAGCTGAGATACAACAATCGAAAGTTGTTACATGCCTGAAACTATACCGTAATGCATGTATCTCTATTGTAAAGAAACACAGATTCGGTTTACATAAGCCATTTAGTAATAACTATCAGCACGAACGCAATAGGAATCAGTTGCAATGTCGATTTTAAGCTGATGTGCCAATATTGAAAACCTATCACTGTGTCTCCCTCCTATTTTAATCCATAGGTGTGAATCCTACTCAACCCTATAAAAGGGGCATTCTGTCGTGTATTCATCAGTTGCCTTCTTGTTACATTGTAGTTTCTTTGTTGTAACATCGACATAATAAACAGTGTATTGTTTAAATGTACATTACGCTTCCTTTATTGTAACTCTACGATCCAATGCATGCAGTTTGAACCTGATCGAATGTGAGCGAATATCTTCCACAAATTAATTGTTCTATGCTTTCTCTGATCTGAATTAAAACACGAAAGAATTTCACAATGTTGAATACGTAAAGCTGTTATTGTAGTGCTGGTGGTATGCAATCTTTCTTTAAGAATAGCTTTAATACTAAGGAGATGAGACAATGTACACCATCCCACAACTCTTAGTGGAAGATGTTGGTGATGGACATAAACCAATTATTATAAACCAATTTCAACAAGACTAAGTAAGTGCATGGGAGCAATACTGGATTGAAATTGCCTAATTTGCCTAATCATCAAATTTCTTTGATTCATGAAGTCCACGGACGTGATTTATTTAATAATAAAAAACATGCATATTACTTATCTAATTATTATTAGCCAATTTCTGATATCTCAAAAAACAGATTTAAATTGAACTTGTGGCAAAGATGTAAAGTGTATTATATACTCCAATAATGTAAGTAACACTGCTTTTTACGTAGTACATCTCAAATAGCAAACAAATATTAGTTGCCAAGCTTCTAGTTTGAAAGGCTAGTCTTAAATTTTGAATTGAGTTTTAATATGCCTCCAATACACTCGGCACACGCGAGCTCTTTCTAAGCTTTCTTTGATTAACAATAATAAATTGGTATATAATAATCAATGAAAAGCCATTTCTTTGATAATTTAATAAAATTACCCAACAACGTTTGTTTTTAACATTAAAGCTCTTCTGAAAAACCTCAAATTGGCATTTATGTCATACTATATTAAAGTCATGCATAACATACTCCATCCAATATTATGTTAAATTATTACAGGACACAATTATTGCTCTGTATGCCCTGGTTAAGTATTCATCGGCAGCTAAGAATGTGATTGAGACACCGGTACACATGAATTGCACAATAACAAAAGGAGCTGGTGATGCCTATAACGAAGTAATAACTTTAAATGATGAAGGGTCCATGGTGCAGCACATTAGAGAGGTACATATTGTTATTATCTTCCAAATTAATGGCAGCCTAAACGGACACACAATTGATAAGCTTTCCGTAAACTTCAACTCCACAATTTCATCTATTTAGGTACCTGTTGGTGGCAAGCTGTATATTGACACTACTGGAACAGGTATTGGAAATCTTCAAGTAGAAGTTAGGTATAACACGCCGGCTCTTTATGCAGAAACGTGTGCATTTAACATCACCGTGAATGTAGTAGAACCACGCCTACGTAGAAGAGATAACACACTCAGTAATACGATCATCCATTTGACTGTTACTGTAAGGTATTTGCATTTTATTTTATCACTGTAACAATTATGTAATGGCAAAATCTGTGTTAATCACGTGATCTCAAATTAATTATCAATTACAATGTATATTAT